CAACCTGGTCTAGTGGAAGGTGTCCCTGCTGCTGGCAGGGGGGTTGGAACTGGATGAGCTTTAAGGTCCCTTGCAACCCAAACCACTCTATGGTTCTATGTGTAGATATGAAAATAAAGTAAATACCAGGTTTTCAATAAGTGCAGACAAATCTAACTTACTTCTAGGAAGCAGTAGCCTCTTTAACATGGAAAAGATGAAATTATTTTTTGTACTCTTTTGTTCTGAAAAATTCTTGAGGCTGAAAAGTCGTTTGCCTACCGAGTTATTCATAATTTACATCAGGTATACAAACCAGCTGGGTTTAGAAAGGGTGAGGGGTGCAAGCAGCGACCAGGAACAGTAAGTAGACTTACCATATGGTACCAGTCTCCTCATCTTCTTCCCTTTCTGCTTTATTATGGTCTCACAGTTTCCCTAAGACATTTTTACTCTTTGCTTCAATTCCTTTTGCCTTGCAGCAGATTTTGTGTTCCTTAATCTTTGCACAAGAGTTTTGCCTGCCTTCTTTACGTAACTCTAGTTTGCTAATTTCTCAGATTTTATCTTTATTATTTTACTGTAACCTTTTAAACTCCCCTCAGAGCACTGGGCAGCTGGCAGTAAATCAGATCTCTCTTTTGAAGAGAAACATTTAAAGCACTTTCATATGGATGTGTGTTGACTTTCGTTTTAAGAATCACATGGATTCTTTCTTAGCTATACAAAATAAGCAGTCAGAAAAAACTCAAGCCAAACAGAGACTTTCCAACCTTGACAATGCACTTCTGTGCTTCCAGGGACAGTATTGTTAGTCCTGGCACCTAAGCTCTGGCAGCTGCGTGGTTCAGGAAGCTGCTATGGGGAAGTAGTCTCTCACCTCTCTTTTGGCACTTGCATCAACTCGTTTTTGTTATCATCTGATGGCTGCTTTATAGCCCGTGTGAATGGATTAGGAAGTTTGATGCCTATTTTCTGTGTGCAGATCATTAAGTTGCGCAGGGTACCAGCTCAAGGGGCCCTTACTGGGCAAACTGGTCTGCAGTCTGGGCGAGGAAGTACGAAGAAGCTTCCTGCTCATCATGGGTCAGCAGGGAGGCCTGGGGAAGCCAGGACAGGCACCGTGCTCACCATTCTTGTTCTGTAGATGGAGAACTTTGTTCTCTACCTCTGTTGATTCAGTGCTTCTCTCTTTATTGAATTCATACCCATAATTAAACACTCCAATCGTAGCTAAGCACATGAAAGATGCATGTGCACGCTCTACAAAATAATTGCACGTGTAGAACAGCTAGTTGCATGTATACTTAGCTGCCTGCTTTGGAAGGAAGGTGCTTGCTTTGTGCATGCAAATGAGTGTTTTGAATAGTTAGATGCCTGAATTAGAAAAGAATCCACTCATTAAAGTGCAGTTATTCACTGACAGCTAACTCTGTAACTTAGCAGCATGGAGCTCCACGTTTGTTATCTGTTCATGACTCTTGGATCCAGTTTCTTGGTTTACAAGATAAACTGAATACTTTTTCTAACTGCCAGCCCTCTCTGCTCCACCTAGATCTAAGATTCCTGAGCAGGACCAGCCAATTTCACTTACACAATATTTTCTTTAAAAATAAAAAGGAAAAATGAAATCATTAATATCATGTTATGCTTAACTTTTTAAAAATCAAAGTTGCTTCTGCACAGGATTCTTTCTGGTTTTCCCCTTGTGAAGGGCACAGCATGAAACAAAGTCAATCAAAGCAGTCTTAAAAATTCTTCTTAGGTACAAATGAAAGCTTGCTAAAGTTTAGTCTGCAGTCAGTTAAATCATTGAGAACACAAAATCCAATATTGAATTCCTAATGTGCTTTAAATAATGCAGTGTGCAATTAAGTCAAGATGGTTCCAAATTGGATCTTCCAGTCCAAACTCCTGTTGTATTTGGAAGGAATAAATAAATAAATAAAAATTTAATACAACTCATAAACCAAGTTGCTGATCTATTAAGGTTTGACTTTTGCTGATACTAAGGTTGCTTTACATTTGTTCAGTCCTGCAAAAGAAATAACTTACGTTTATTTTCACTGTAAGGATCCTTTACAGAATCAGTGTTGTTAGTGTCATAATCAGCCCCATAAACATTTGCAGAAGCAGAATTGTAGTTTGAATACATTCTCATCTAGATGCAATAGTCAAATTGGCATGTGTTTTATCTGCTTAATTTGCATGTGCAGACACCCATTTGTCAGAGTTGTATTTACAAGAGTTTCTTAACTCTGCGGTGACCACGTTCTCCTTCATGAGCCACCAACAGATGTGCAGGAGTTCCGTGAAGAGTCAGAAGCCAGACTTCCTCCCCTGCTCCTTGCTTCCCTCTGCTTTACCAGGAACTTGTGCTATTTTTTGGAGAATTAAGTTTTTCAGTATCTTCTTCCATCAAAGCTTTTGCCACAGAGAAGCTGCATAAGAAATGTCTACAAGCGAGTTTCTCTGTTATGATTTGATCCCAACTCTGGGAAGGTTTTTCTCTTCAACAGTGTGCACATACTTGAATAACAGGTTATTCCTTTGCATGTCTTTATTTTTAATTGACACTTAGATGATTGAGGGTTTACATTTTAAATACCACATACAAAGAGGCAAAGCCTGGTTTTTCCCCTGAAGGGTAAAAGGGATTGGTAACTATAAAGAACTTTTTAAGAAGTATTAACAATTGGGACTCGGTTCCACTTTTATTTTTACTAGGAGAACTGGAAGCTGTAACACTGCAACATCACCCACAGATACATGAAAGTCAGGAAAACAAGATATAAGTGCCAAAGCCTGTAAAGTGTTTGGTGGCTGGAGGGGGGAGTGATGTTTTTGATGCTCAATATTTGTACAGCTGCCTGCTTAGCAGTGCGAATGTGCGGCGAGCATGACACCGCTCAAAGAGAAGAGCACTAACGTATTTGTAACGCTGACATTTAATGCTCCTGTATTTCTAACCGCTCCTTTCACAGGAATGTAGAATCCTGAAGAATTTTTCCTCCTTGAGGGCCATCATTTCAGCACTGCAGTCCAACTCCATCTATCGGCTAAAGAAGATCTGGGCGTGTGTTCCAAAGTAAGCTTCTCCCTCTGCTCCCATGGCTAGCCCCAAACAAAGGCAAAAAGCTCAGTGCTCTTTCTTTTCATCTTGTTCTTCTCAGTCTTCCTATTCTGCTCCTTCATGGACATCTGCTCTCTTAGAAGAACCTCTCATTCCTGTGTGGCTCAGACCTCTTTTTTGGGTCTGACTGCTGTGAGCTCCTCTTTCATATTGAGAGGACAACCTGCCCTCAGGGATGATGGGTCTCTTCTGTCCTTTATAGCATACTGGAACTTCCACAACCTACTTTGAAAAACTATGGGACTAGCTACTCATCCAGCTCGTGCACACCACTCAGCAAAAGGGCACCGTGATACTTGCTTGGTGTTTTCTCTCCTATGAAGTTGGAGGAGGTCCAGGTTGTTACAAACCCTCACTAATCCTCTCCTGGTCCTGATGTTTCCTTAAAACATATCTCCAAACTACAAAATCCAAATCTGTGTTGAAGACAATATTTCATACAGGGGAATACCTTTGTGTGCAGTTGGTGTTTTTACTGCATGCCAAATAGACACCAGAAATCTCTGTGTAAGAGAGATGGTGTTCTGCTCGTTCTGTTTGGGAATAATAGATTTCTTTCCTTTGATAAACAAAGAAAAATGTCACTCTGCCACCAGTATACTTCTTCATTTCCCCTGGAGTGAGGTGGGTCCTTCCTTCCGCTGCCCCATGTTCCTGTTCCTGATCAAGATATTGCCATCTTGTGTGTGTAGCGATGGGTAATAGAAAGGGACTTGTACATTTAAATGCTTCTAGCTTTCCAGAGTGCACGGAAGAAGGGAAAAATGAAGTACTTAGGATACCTCCAACAGCTATTTTTCTGTTCCTTGGTATCTATTTACCCATTTTCTTACAACAATCTGATACCCTGCAGTGTGATTGAAAACCCTGCTCAGAGTCTGTGTACCTACAGCATTTCTTTGTGATGCTGACTTGACTGAGAGCACCAGAAGATCCCAGGAAGGTTCCTAGTAGATGTGCAGCATCTCACTGGATGCATATTGGTGGTGTTACCTTTTATATGCCCAACTGTTAACGATTCATGAGAAAAAGTAGTAATCTGATGTGATTTAGAGTGCTTACTGATAACCTAAATGATTTAATCTTTTCCTTTACAGGGACATGACGCTGATGTTCGAAGAGCTCTCTGATATCTTCTCAGACCATGACAATTATTTGACAAGTAGGGAGCTGCTAATGAAGGTGAGAATTAGCTTGATTTGCAAGACTTGTGATATTAATCAAAGCTGAGGTTAGCCCTTTTTCTAACCAGCTGCCAAAGCTCATCTCTCCCTGAACTGTATGCAGTGCTTCAGGGAAGAGAGGTCTGTAAAACCCCTGCTTTTCTGCTGGGATGAGAGGCGATTTCCTTGTTCCTAAAAGAACCTGCACTAGCATTTGGCTGTTGAGCTTGGCTACCCCCATGCAGCAGGTTGCAGCAGCACAGATTCTGATCCCCAGACAGCAGGTCAGGACCCCTTGGAGCCCCTCAAGTTGAATGTCACGCTGCTGTGGTTAGGTAACTGGTAATGCTCCCTTGGGCACGGTGATGTCTAGCTCAAGACATGTCTAGCTGTGTGCACCGTGTTGTATCTGTGATAGTGTTGGAGCCAACATCAGAGGTGCTGCACGGTGTGATTTTACTGAGTTGAGTTAAAAATTAGCACTTTGGCTTTATATTGCTCTGTACAGAGAGATGAACCCTGCGAGCAGACCTAGAAAGGTTCAAGTTTGCACTGGTGAGTGCAGAGCAGCTCCAAACAAGATTCTCAACTGGGTTGCACCATTGTAGTGCTTTTGATTTCACTGGAACAATGCCACTTAGCTTCAGCTGAGGAATTAAACCAAGATATTTATCCGACTATCCCGTACCTTTCTTGGAACTAGAAAACAGGGCTGGGAATTCTGAAGGAGCAGGCTTCCTGCTCTGTGTGTGGCCAGATGGACAACAAAGCAGGCTCTGTCTGGAACAGTTTGACTTGTGCACTCTCCTGGGCAAGCCCCAGAAAGCTCAGGAACTTGAAAGGAGTGAGGAGGAATGGCAGGGAAAGGTTAGATTCTGTAGAAACTGTGGAATGTTTGTGTCAGTTTTTTCTGTTTACAGAAAAAGTTTCTATAAACTGGCTAACCAGTTTACTTGTTGGCAGTTCTATCCAGTCTCTCTGGCATCTGTACATCACTCCCTTGCCCTGGTATCTGAAACACTGTGTTTTGCTCAGGAATGATGGGTGAGCACATTTAAACCTGTCAGTCTGTTTTGTTTATCATCCATTTATCAACACCTGTAGCTAAATTTTAAAGCAGGCGAGACAATAATAAGTACAGAAGGAATATCTGTGTTCAGAACAGCTTATTTAACTAAATATTAAAAAGACAAAACAACTCAATCTGAGCCCAGACCTTCTGGCTCCCAACAAATCACTCTCCCCAGCTGTCATAAGTAGATTTGCAAAACACTTGGAAAGCAGTGAGAGGAGAAAAATTCCACAGAATAGCTCGGATCTCTCTCCTACTTCTCATCTTGGACTGTTTTGTACCGATTGGAGGATTAATGTCTACTGAATCCTTAAAGCCTTTGTTTTCTTTCACTATAAATAGTCTCTCTAGGGAAGCTGTGTTTGACCTTGCCCATCCATCCTGCAAATTTAAGTGTGGATCAGACAGAATGCCATATGAAACAGGTTGGCCGGCATGGAGAGGGAGCACTGTGTGCTCTCCTCCCCAAACAAGGCTCTGCTGCAGGCTGCAGTTGTAGCTTCTGTGCCTGCTCACCAGCTGTTCTTAGAGAATATTGAGTTTACCTTTCAGTATCTTGAAGACATTGAGACAACACTCCTTTTTCATTTGTTCCTGGTTTTTTGAGCTTGAGGAAGGAAATACAGAGTTTGAGTGATCTATCCATTAACTGTGACTGAGAGAAGTAAACTTTGTAATGAGAGGATCTTTACAAATGCAGCTGTTGTTCTGTGCCCCCTAAAAAAAACCCCATTGATAATGATTCATGCCCCATCTATCTGACCACTGAAAAAAACCCCAGTAACTCTCAGCATCCTGTATGGATCCAGGGAAGCAAAGGCTACAGATCTATTGTGAAATAGCTCATCCATTCATAGGAAAGCTTGAATTGTGGAGATGAAAACCTACTACATCCATTTCCTGCGTGGTTTTGGATTAGCCAGTAAGCCACAGAGAATTGCTGGATCTCTGCGTTGCAGGAAGAAAAACAACAAAGCATTACCATAAGAAAAACAACAAAGCATCTCTACATAAACTGGAGATGTTTACTCGTAGCAGTCCTGATTAGGAAATGAAACAGAAATCCTGAGGTCAGGCATGTCAGGAGAGAGTTCAGAGAAGCATCTGGACACCTGAAGTATATCTAAGTTTCTCTGATTTAAACTCCCAGGAGATATTCAACAGCCCTTAGCTTTCACCAGAGTAGAGCTAGTTTGCAGAAACGTTCCCTTATGGTCACCTTGTGGGATTTTGTCCAAAATTCCCAATCAGTGTATGAGTCCCAGAAAATGAGCACATATACGTATACATGCACCTGCACAGCAGATATTTTTGCTGGGCTAACTTGCCTGGTTAAATGTATCTGCAGTTATTTTACACAAACATAGTTGGCAGTTTACCACTTAGCTCCTCCATTAATTGCTTTTTAATTCCTTTTTAACTCACAGGAGGGAACATCTAAATTTGCCAATTTGGACAGCAACGTGAAAGAAAATCAGAAAAAGACACAGAGGAGACTACAACTTCAAAAAGATATGGTGTGTTTGGGGGCTTTTTCTTACTCTTTTTGAACTGGTAACATGATTAACCCTAATTGGTGAATTATATAAGCAGCAAAATCTAGACAGTTATTTAACAAAGCGAGTGTGAGGTAGGTAATGCTCTTGCACGTGCCCTCTGTCAAGCAAAACAATCACATCAATGCTATTGATCAGCTGAAAGAGAGTGAACCGAAAGGTTTAGACTGAATATGCAGTCAGAGTGTTTATCCCTGTAAATGTATCTATATTTATATATAGATATATATACACACGATCACACACATGCATGCATCCGTACATATAAACAATTACACAATGGGATTCGTGCTAACCCCAGCTCAAGCTGTACAGCCTGTGCTGAGCTGCCAAGCTGTAACAGCTCTGGTTTTGAGTGCAACCCAGCTCTCCTTTTCCTCCAGTCATGCTTGTCTGTGTACTGGATCTGCAAAGCATCACATAGCCAGTGTGTTCCCTGAGCTGATGCTGAGAATGCTCAAACATTTCAGGCTCTGGTGAACGTATGCAGGGGCCACGTTATGTTCCCTGGCACCAGTCTTCCCCTGTCCCCTGCAAGGGCTAACTGGGTGTATGGGCTTGCTGATCCTGTCCCCACCTGCATTTCCTTCACATCCCAACCAGCTGGTCAGGATGGATGCTGAGCCAAGGGTTTGGCCTTCATTTGGAGTCTTCTAGAAATTTATTAAACCTGTCATATAAAAGGGTAATAAAAAAGGGTAAAAAAGTGATTGATGAATATAAACATGTGTTCATCATGTTCAATTGTCTTGTTTCTGTCCTACAAGAAAGAATTCTTGAGAATAATTGTTTCCTATAAGAAAGAAATAACTACTCTTGTTACCCTTTTGAGAGAAACACAGGGAAAGCCACACAATTTTCATGTAGTCAAATACATAATGTAAATACTGGAATTCTTGTGATAAAGAAAACTATCTCTGGCCAGAGCAGAACTCTCATTTACTTTTAAAAAAGCTATGAAGGTTCTGACATACCAGCTTGAAAATGGCACAGACTTCTACAGAGATCGTTTTGTAAAATGTGTCTGGTTTCCAGTCTGCTGGTGAAAATGGTTTTTGTCTCAAAAGTTGGCAAAGATTTAAAAGGACAAGGGGAGAGAAAACTGGAATGGCGAGGCAAAAGTGCTGAATATGATTTTTTTGTTTGACTGGAAAAAATACGGATCCTTTTGGGTGGTAGAAACAAAGCATTTCCTTCACAAGTGTAGAAACAGCCTGAACTCTACAACTGCTAGCAGTCTAGAAAGTTTAAACTGTGAATAATTACTATTAAAATGCAGTGAATGGCTGGGGAAGATGGTCACTTTTTGGAAGAAAAAACCCTGTGACTTCATTTGACTTGACTGTCACATGGTACAATGCCATCATTAAGTAAAAATCCACTAGTATGAAGCAGAGAGAGAGAAACTGCTTCCACAGCCTAGCCAGGACCATTCCCCAGCTCTTCCTCTTGTAGCAGGGAGCCGAGGGACCCTGTCCCTGCTGCTCGATCCTTCTTTCACAAGCAGGGTTTGCTGGTGACCAGCTGTGAGAACTCAGGCTGTGGTGGCAATACTGGAGTACAAAACCAGCTGGCAATGTTTATGAGAGCATCCTGCTGTCATTAGAATTTGATTTAAATTCTGTATCAGATACTAAGGATGACCTAATAAAAGAAAACAGCATTTATAAGACCACTGTTTTGTTAAACAGACTACTTTTATTTCATTTTTTTCTTATACAGGAGTATTCTAGCGTTCTAATTATTACCATTTCTCAGTCAATTAATCCTTCATTGTTCTGATCGTTTGCAGGGAGTAATGCAAGGCACCGTGCCTTATCTTGGTACCTTCCTCACTGATCTCATCATGCTTGACACAGCCCTTCAGGACTCTATTGAGGTAATTTGGGGCAATTTTTTTAATCCTAAGTATCCTCCTTGCCTTCCCGGCACTGAGTGTATCTGTTCCTGTATCTTCTACTAGGTTCTTGTGCAGTTCTTAAAAATAAAAGAATCTGCTTTCAAAATATGCAGTTTTATTAGCAACGAGAATCTTGTGTGAATTTGAGTGCAGTTATCTCAAGGGACAAGCTTAGCACTGTATTTTGTCTGGTTTTATTAGGTTAGAAAATGTGCGGAAAGTTTCATTTTTCTGAAAACAACATTGTAGGTGTAAAGAATTGTGTGAATTCCTAGGTTGCCCAAGGAAGTTGTGGATGCCCCCTCCCTGGAAGTGTTCAAGGCCAGGCTGGATGAGGCTTTGAGCAACCTGGTCTAGTGGAAGGTGTCCCTGCTGATGGCAGGGGGGTTGGAACTGGATGAGCTTTAAGGTCCCTTCCAACCCAAACCAGTCTGTGATTCTATGAATAATTGGTAAAATACACAGAATCACAAATTCAGCTCTTCAGACCCATCACTGAAGTGCTTCAGTATTGACTCAGGCACGTCTGAGCCCTAAAGTGATTAAAGATTTGCTTTTATTAATTTCTCTTTAGCTGAACAAGCAGAGGGAACCAATCTAGCATAGGAAGGGGAAAAGCAGAGTCTGGTCCTTTAACAGAGACTGAGGATGGGGCCAATTTTCAAAGGTGTTTGTTTCAAAGGTCTTCAAGCACCTTTGAAAATCAGCCCCAGTAAAGCAGACACTGGAGGAGCACACACTGCAGGTGCTCAGCCTTCACTGTGCTGGTGCTGATATTCATATTCATATTCATATTTATATTTATATTTATGATAAGAAGGGGCAAACATGCTTCTCCCTGGGCTGGTGATGGTCACTGCTTTGTTTGGTGGTGGTTTGTTTTACAAAACTGCACTAAACCAGGCCTGTGTAACGTTGCTATATATCCATTTTATTTTTGGCAATTTCCCTTCTGCCTGTGCTATGTGTTCAGTTGGTGTCTGTGAAACTCCCAGGGAACAGCCCTGAACTCCCAGCACCGGCACGAGCAGAGTTTGTGTCTCACAAGCGAAACCCCGCTAGCGTTCTTCAGAGCTGATCTCAGCCCAACTTTCATAAGGGTTCTTGTGCTGGGCTTTTCTTCCTGGGCAGATTGCCATTTAGGCCATAAGGACAGATATCCTTTGGAGATTTGGATAGATGAGTGCTGTGGTTTTTACCAGACCTGGAACAGGTATTTTTAGAAGGTCCTTGCTCAGGGCAGGTCTGTGCTTTACATTAGCCTTGCCACTTCATCCTGTTTGTGATTAAATTCAACTGAGCATGTGCTCTTCTACTCTGATCCCTTCTCTTTCCTTCTAACAGGGTGGCCTGATAAATTTTGAGAAAAGGCGAAGGGTAAGTTGAATGTTCTGTGATTTTTAGTTTAGTGATGCCCTCTTTTAGAGCATTCTCTTGGCAAGGCCTGTTGTCTTTGCTCAGGCATATACACCAGCTGCTAATTTTAAGGCAAATTATTTGTATGTAGGGGAAGAACAGATCCCTGAAAGGCTGGAAGCCTCTGCCAAACTGTGAGGGGTGATGCAGGAAGAGACCCTGCTTTTTAGATGTGTGCAATGAGGGAGAGGAGCTGCAGGTCACTTACTTCCATGGGATTTACATCTGGGACGTGTGGTGTTCATGGGAATACATGTGGATATCCTTTGTGTTGAGAGTGAATCAGTCCTGGTGGCATGAGACCTTTGCTTTCCAAAAGATACAGTTTGTAAACATCTTCCTTCTGCTGCAGTAAACTGTTTGTAGGTAAAAAGCTGCAGAGAGCAAACTAGGTACATAGGACTGAGAAATAAATGGCATCAGTCTTTCCTGTCCTTGTAGGTCAGAGATAAGTAACCCTGTGTAGGAGTAAAAGTACTGGGGTTACATCTGTCTGAATGAAGCCGTGCCAAATCCCTGTTCTGGGGTCTGAAAGCAGACGGGGATTTGGCTGTGATGGAGCCATTTCCTTCCCTTAACTGCTCCCAGCTCTACAAACCACTTCTTGGACTTACTGTACGTGTAACTGCACGGCTCAGGATACCAATAATGAGATCCACGAGCTTCTCTGTGGTCATCAGTCCAGCTTCACACAAACCAGTGGCAAAGCTGCCCTCTGAACCATGCCAAGTCCTCAGCACCACTCCTGCCTCCTGATTCTATGATCTGCTCTCACACAAGGGGGTTTTAAGAATTATTTTGGCAAAGTGTGTATGCAAGTGGCGTTACAGAGCAGCAGCGCGTTCTAGTCACACCAAGGGTAGATTTTTACGTTCCTCTGGGGTAAGCGTTGAGTGCTCAACCTGCAAAGCCGGGGAGGATCAGGCTCTGCTTTCATGGCAGGCACCCCTAATTATTACCCTGACTTGCTGCCTGAGAACCACCTATGTACCCAGCACAATTCTCTTGGAGCTGGTCTGGCCAGCGCTGGGTGAGCAGGCAGGGCAAGCTGGAGAACCTGTGACCTTTGCTACTCTCATTCCTAGAGGAACAACCAGCATTGCTGCTGTTTGGTGGCATTACACTTCAGTTAGTACTTGGAAAAAGCTCTGGGGTGAAGTGTAATTCCTGGTGTTTGTCTTCTGATTTGTGTGTGTCTGATAAAATGTTCACATCTCAGTGCACATTAGGGATGTTGGGGAAAAAAAAAAATCAAAAGAGACTTCATTGTTTGAAAAATTGCTTCTTGAAATAGTCAGTTACTCAACTGAAACGGAACTTCAGGTCAAACTAAATTTGTCCTGGATCTGTTGTTGCATGTGTTTAGTATATGACTGAGTCTGTTTGGTTTATCATATTTTCTAATTAGAATTCCTGTTTGATTATTTATTTTCTTAGGAATTTGAAGTAATTGCCCAAATTAAGCTCTTACAGTCCTCATGTAACAGCTATTGCATGACACCAGATGAAAAATTCATCCAGTGGTTCAAGAGACAGCAGCATTTAACTGAGGAGGAGAGGTAGGTTCTCAGTCCAACTGGCAAAGCGGCCTTTTCTCACCCCACAGCCACCTTGCAGTGGGTTATGTCAGCTTCTAGCAATCCTCTTACACACACTGCTGCTCGAGGAGAGTGGAAATACATCTGCCTTCTGCAAAACAGCTCTAGAAAACATGGGGAACTCAGCAGAGTTGAGTTTTGAGATTGGAAATCAGGCTTCTGACTTTGAAATAGGATATTTTGCTGTGTCTGGGCTGTCTGTACGCCCAGACACACACTCAGAAGTTGATCCTGAGGGACATCAAGATGCCGTCACTGACTGTTGGGCTGGTGGATGCGGGCAACAGGTAGCCAAGGCAACGCAGAGCTCACTGTGTGCTCACCAGATAAATGTCTCCCTGGCATTTGGGGTGGGTTTTGCAGCCCTGCTGAGTTCCGTGTTACTGCACATGCTGCCAGACCAACACAAGATAATTAATTACAGCATTTTAAGGTCTCCACTAGGTGTTTGATACCACTCTGCTGCACTAAGAGTGTAAGCACAGATACGTACTGCATTGTGCTGAGTTGTAGTAAAAAAAAAAATCTCAGCTTCTCCAAGATTCACATATTAAGTATTTTCCTGATTTCTCTTTAAATAAAATGATGAATTTCATAGAAAAAAGCGCTAGTTTTTAAAACCATTATAAAGAAGTGAAATATCCCCTTCACCATGGTAAAATGTAGACAGAGCTGTGTTCCTCTTTGTCGGGTTGCAACCTCTGTGAAGTGGGAATCACTGAAGTTTTCTCAAATTTCTTGAATATTGCTACTTAGAGATATTTAGCTAATGGTATTGTCTGTAAAAAATTAACTCGGTGGCCTCTGTTCTGCAGTTACAACCTTTCACGTCAGGTTGAAGCAGCTGCTGACGCTAGCGCCACATCACCAAAATCTCGGAAAAGCGTGGTGAAGAGATTCAGCCTGTGAGTACCAGGGGGCCAGGGGTGTTTGGTGTGGCAATGTGAACCTGAATCAATCAAACAAGCACTACTCATTTCACCAGCTCAAAAACCTGGCAGGGGATTCAGACCACTGCATTAATTTAAGGAGATTCAGAGCACTGCATCACTTTAAGGAGACACCATCAGCTAGAAATGCATACTGCTGTCTGAAGCTGTCTCTTGTTATAAGTAATCATGAAGGTTATTAATGATGAAAGAGATTAGAAACAAACAAGCCTTCCTAAGGTGTCAGAAAAAGGAACAATTTTAATGCTGGATTATAAATTCAGTATCTATTGTGCAATAACTTCCCTGAATGCAGGAGCAAAACAGAGTAAATGAGGATAAAGTCTGGTCTATTATTAAGTCTAATTTACTATTCACATGCAAAAAAATTCCTTGCAGGATTTTAGTATAAAAAGTAAGGTTAGCAAAAAGGCATTTGAAAATAGAAACAATCTGCCTAACTGCCTTCAAGTTAAAGGAGGAAAAAAATAATGGGGATGTGGTCTGATTTAATCTAATACCACAAAGATTCAAACAGGAGGTGGGTGGAGAACAGGGGCACACAGCTAAGCACACGCAGGAAACAATACGCCAGCAGGAAAGCAGGAATTTGGGGGAAGCTGCAGGGAATGAAAGCAGAGATCAAGGACTGAAGTAAAAATATCTTAAAGGCGAGAAATTTGAATGTGATGCAAGAGGAGATAGGAAGGGGCTCCCACATACCAGTGGCATGATGAAGATGAGGGAGGAAATGCTGAATTTCACAGCACTATCAGCTCTGAACTCTCCTTTCCTGCATGGTTCTTGGACCCACTTTCCTCAGAACAGCCAGCAGCCATTCACACCAGTGCTGCTGCAGCTCAGGGGCTGCAGGGAGAAGAGATTTTTTCCATCTAGAGTTTTGATATGCAAAAAAAAAATGCAAGCAGCTGTTTGGAAAGTGTGAGGATTAGTCCATCCGAGTCAGTGGAGATACGTTATGAGAACGTGAGCTTTGAAGATGCCAGTGCCTGAACTGGTGGCCTCCCATTAGTGTCTCCAGTGCCTGAACTGGTGGCCTCCCATTAGTGTCTCCAGTGCCTGAACTGGTGGCCTCCCATTTGTGTCTCCAGTGCCTGAACTGGTGGCCTCCCATTTGTGCCTCCCTTGGCACATGCCTAAGCTGGGTGTAAGAACTGTTGCCGCGGAGCAGAGGTTTTATTCTCCCCTTTCTGCCCGCGTTCCCGTGCTGCACTATGGTAATTTACCGTGTCGAGTTTGTTTGCACTGTGTGGTCTTTGTCTAAAGAATTGTTTCATCTGCAATCTGAATATATTTTGTAAATTAATGCTGTAGAAAAGACTGGCACAATTCATCCTGGAAACAGTGAGTGACACCTCTCTAAATTGTTTTCAATCATAAACTGCATGTTAATGATTTCACCTGCTTCTCTACCTTATATATTATACAAATTTGTTTCCTTTGCCACTCCTTTAAATTTACTTGACCTGCATTTAGAAATGAGTCTCGGAGAGGGAGAGCCTATAATTTGCACTTTCTTGTGATCTCCTCATTGTGTACATCTCCGTTGAGAGTCTTAAGAGGGAAACTGGTATCTGTGGCCCCTTTCTTGAGTGAAAGAATTTGCAGTGGGGATGAACGTGCCTTTTGAAGGTCTTTGCCCGGCGCATGGCCACGTGTTAACCTTCCACACAGGGTTTCACTTCCTCGTGGTGGCTGAGTAGGTCTTGAGCTGCCTTGTGTCAGAGGGAGCAGGGTGGGACAGCAGCGTGCAGGAGCACCAGCTGCCATGCCTCCAACATGCCCCTTGTCCCTTCATTTGTAAACCCATCTGGTTTACAATCCATCATTTCTCCAGTCAGAGTCGGAAAATTTAGCAGACTGAGGAGGAGCCTTGTTTGCGATACCGCGGCACTAGCCCTGATGTTGGCCTTGCAGCTGCTGGGTACTCCAGGTCAGGAAGGTTTTGTGTTAGTGTGTAACAAACCCTCCTGACAAACTATATAAACAACACGGAGGAAATTAAAACAATAGGCCACTCCAGCTACGAAAACAAAACAATACGTCAGATTTTTGAACCAAGTGGGAGCTCTGCTCAGCCCAGCTCTGTTCTGCTTTTACTTACTGGCTTTTACGCTTTCTTCTCTTTACTAGAATGTTTCTGGGCTCTGAGGTGATCGTCCATAGCACACCCATCAAAGAGCAACCCAAATCTCCTCCAACTGGGAGCTCTGGTGAAAGCACAGACTCGGCCAGTGTTTCCTCGTGCGAGTTTAATCACTCTGAATGTGAAGAAGTCGCCATCTCTCCTGTTGGCACTCCTGATGATTCTCACAAAAAGGTACGGTCTGGGCCTTGTTGCCATCACAAACAGCCTGTGAGCAACTGCTGATGCTGCAGACAGGTCCTAGATGTGAGCCAAAGCCTGTTGGGCTTGACTAGAGCATTGTTTTTAGTGGAAAGGGGAGACTCTAGAAAGAAATGTGTAAAAATGGAAGCAATCCAGTCAGGATCCCTTCTGTGTTGCTGAGATACAAGGCAGACTGAAGTTCTCCTTCCATGAAAGCAGACTTTCTTGCGGTGCCTGGCAGTGGTTTTGGTTTAGGTGAGGCCCTGGAGAAGCATGAGGTTAATTTTTCATTTTTCTTTCAGTCCCTCATGCTTTTTGTGAGGGCTGGGGCTGTGGCATTTCTACCTTTGAGCCTGTGGGAAGTGGGGTGTGGAGCCTGAGCACCATGCTTGCTCATGGCACACGGCAGCGTGACGTTAACAGTGACACGGACAAGAGGATTTATCAACCCCCACAAACAAAACCAAATGAAACAGGAGATGGGATCAGCTAAAGAAGAGTAAGATCAACAGCTAGTCATTTCCTCCTCAAATATCTCAGGTTGGATGAGTTACTCTGCTGGTAGCAGCCCACTGCCGTGTCCTTTGTGCTCTATCAGCTGTAGCTGGAATAGGAAGTTTGACTTTAGCAGCTGTGTGCTCACCAAGGAAAGCCCAGCTGCACTAAAGCTGTGCCTGCGCTCTGGGAAAAGTGTTTTGTGGGTGGGCAAGCAGGAGTGCATTAGTGCCAGCCTGGTCCTGGGGAACGCAGAGCAGCTGCAGGTGACCAAGTGATAGGTAAGGTCACCAGCCCTGCGGGTTCCACCTCTGTGAGCTGCCAAGATGGAAACTCCCCGCCTTGGCTTGGTTTAATTCCACAGGGGAAGTTGGTGGGTGGTGCTGCTGCACCTCCTCCTGCACAGCAGCTCACTCTGAGCACACAGGGACACGGAACCAGCGTGCCAGGAAACCCCCGGTTCTGCAGAGAAGACAAAGCCCTACACCTGGCACACAGAGTATGTGAGAGGAACTGTACGGGCAGGAAACCATCAGAAGGGCTCTGCCAGGGGATCCACAGGGACATCTTTCCTGCAGACTCTTCCCTTTTGAACTGAATGGTGTTAGCTTTTTAGGGATGTTTCACTGAAAAGTGTCATTCCCGTTCAGGCAATGGAAGGGGTTGCCCAGGGCAGTGGTGGAGTCCCCATCCCTGGAGGGATTGAAGAGTCGTGTAGACATAGTGCTGAGGGACATGGGTTAGTTGGGGACTTAGTGTTGGGTTCATGATTGGACTCGATGATCTTAAAGGGCTTTTCCAATCGAGGCAATTCTGGGATTCTGTGATATTGGGGTTTAGCTTATGGATATTTTAAATTAAATTGTACTAAATGTTCTTAAACCAAATGAAGCACGACTGGCTTCAGACAGAACACGACCCAGACACTGGCTTCCATAGAACTCAATCATTTAAACTGCTCAGCTGGAGCAGTTGTTACAGTGGGTTTGATAAGCAATCCGGAGAGGGAACATGCTGTCAGCAGTTTGTGAGTGAGGCAGGTGAAGAGGAAGAGAAAACCCTGAGCAGCAGGGGAAGAAAGGGGGCAGTTTCCATCGAGGAAAGAGCATTTTTGCATCAAGGAAAGAATATTCAAGGAGAAACGGCAGACAGGGAGGGGTGTGTGTGTATTTTAATTCGTGTAGAGACTCCAACCTGGAGCAGGAGCAGCGGTGCCTGTGGTGCCCTCTGCTCCTTCTCAGTCTGTCCCAGTCCCTGGCTGGTTGCCCACAACCAGATTCTGTGAGTTGAATTTGCTGCCACCTCCTGGCTTCCTCTTTCTGAGAGATCAGAGCAAGCAGCGCCCAGTGTCTGGCACTGAATTGGAAATAAGTTTCCATTAAAATAGTGAAATGAATCAAGTGAAGCTCACTTTTTCTGGAGGTCAGGACCTGCTGGGCAGGGTGCAGCTGATGGAGGTTTTGTAAGTGCCTGCTGCTTTCTCAAGATCTTCCTCCAGAATGACACACACAACAGCCAGTTTATGATGGTGTTTTTCTTTCTTTCTTTGTGTTTTGTAGCTCTTGGAATCTTCCTCCCCCGAATCTTCCTTCCCCGAATCTTCCTTCCCCGAATCTTCCTTCCCCGAATCTTCCTTCCCCGAATCTTCCTTCCCCGAATCTTCCTTCCCCGAATCTTCCTTCCCCGAATCTTCCTTCCCCGAATCTTCCTTCCCCGAATCTTCCTTCCCCGAATCTTCCTTCCCCGAATCTTCCTTCCCCGAATCTTCCTTCCCCGAATCTTCCTTCCCCGAATCTTCCTTCCCCGAATCTTCCTTCCCCGAATCTTCCTTCCCCGAATCTTCCTTCCCCGAATCTTCCTTCCCCGAATCTTCCTTCCCCGAATCTTCCTTCCCCGAATCTTCCTTCCCCGAATCTTCCTAATCTTCCCCCCCCGAATCTCCCTCCCCCGAATCTTCCTCCCCCGAATCTTCCTCCGCCGAATCTTCCTTCCCCGAATCTCCTTCCCCCGAATCTCCTTCCCCGGAATCTCCTTCCCCGGAATCTCCCTCCTTTTCCATGGACGTATCTTCCTCGGGGGTGTCATCTTTCATCTCGACCCCTTCCTTGCTCTTCTCAACCGACAAGTCTCCAGTCTCCGCGACAGCCGTTACCTCACCAGCGGAGCCTCCCGTTTACAACCAGCAGAACAGAGATATGTGCATCATCCGCACCAGTGTCGAAGACGACAACGGCAACGTGTACAAGAGCATCCTGGTGAGCGCTGTGGGACAGCAAAGTGCTCTTATCCTTGGTGATGTTTTCATCTGGGGTGACTTAACCAAATGGTGTTTTTAGTTTTGAAAATACCTGATCACTGAGACAACTAATGAACCCTGCCTTGAAAGGGGAAATGGCAAACGTTACAATCGGGAATACGTGGAGGGTGGGATGAACGTGAGGTTTGGAAACGGCACCTTTGTGGAAGTTTCTGGTCTAGAAATTCAAGTTGGTATATTATCAGAAAGTTCAAGGTGGAGAGTTCTGATCGAGGGCAGGTTGTGTTGCTCCTGCCCTTCTGCGAGCGCTGGCTGCTTTTGTTCTAGCTCAGAATTCCTCTGTGTGTTTTGCCATGAGGTGCCACGTGCCAAGTTTTGCCTGGAGCAGCTTTCCCCAGGAGGAGCTGGTTTCTGGAAACAGGGACATGAGGAAGCTGACAAGCCCTTTCATTACACAGCTTCTCTCTGCGGCACAGGTTGCCAGACCAGCAGCCACCAGCGTTCAGGTGTTTCCCTTGATGCTGGTATCACGGAGGGGTCCTGGCCAAGGGAGCGCAGGGCCTGGGCTGGACCACAGGCGATGTCACTTGCCTGCGTGTGATCTCTGCAGAGACCTGATGGAGCAAACGCTCTGGGTCCCTCAGAGGTGGGGAAACAAACACAGGGGGGTTAGTTCTTAGCACGTTCAGCTCTACCTTAGGATTTCAATGGTCTGACCTCCCCAAGGTGCCAAGAGCCGTTCCCTGAGGGCCTGACAAATTCAGCCACTGGCGAGCCAAACCTTCCTAGTGACTGTGTAAGGCTCTGGCGGGAGCCCTGTGTCTGCTCCGGATGCACAGCACTTCCACAGCAGACACTAAACCAAGTTACAAGGCCAAAAAATCTTTGCAGGACGTCAAAGGAAGTATTTGGCACAGGTGACTGCAGATTAATTGATGTCTGCAAAGAACAGATGGGGCAGCTATTTATGTGGACTTTGATGGCTGATGAGAACAACGTCTCATCTCTCCAAGTGTTTGCTCAGGAGAGCAGACAGTGATTTACTGCTGTCTCTTCTAGTAGAGAATCTGTTGTTTTGAACTAAAAAAACCCCACCAAATGTCACAAATACCACAGTTTAGTATCTCGCAGTGCCTACTACTTCCTTAGTGACCCATCCTCTTTTTGCAGTTCTCTGAAATCTTTTCCAAGACCAAGCGGTCTGCGGATAGATAGGCCTTTGCTAATTAAATCATTCTACAGCGTGAATAAGCAGAATCTCTCATTGCAACTCTTCTCTTTCCAGCTAACCAGCCAAGACAAAACTCCTGCTGTCATCCAGAGAGCTATGCTGAAGCACAACCTGGAATCTGACACAGTTGACGATTATGAGCTTGTACAGGTCATCTCTGAGCAGAAAGGTAGGGAAGCAGAACTCTGCCACTGCTTGAAAAGTTCTG